CCAACTTTCTCCAACTGGAGTCCCTCCCGCGGGCTGTAGCCCTTTGTGAGCTGCTCCGGCATGGGACACTGCCACATGCTGCAATCCTGCCAGCGCCTAACTACAACAGTGGAGGCTACTTCTTCCCACAAGGTCCCAGACTCTTTTGAGTGCAGTCACCTTAGCTGGGTATGCAAAGCCCCTCACAGGCCATAAATCAGTGTCTGCTCCACCATAGACCTTCACGTGTGGCAGGGCAGGGCTGCCCTGCTCTCTCACCACAGAATACAGGGGGGTCTCTGCTCTGGCACACCTCCCCCCCTCATTTCTTCCTCCATTCCTCCACTGACCTTGGTGTTCACACAGTTGCCGAAACTCCTCCTCACCAGTCTGATTCCTCCTCACCAGGTCCCTTCTTAAATATATTATTACAGAGACACAACTGATTGGCTCAGTTTTTGGTGCAGAGGTGGGGCCAACTTGGAACCAGGGGAGCTTCAAGAAGCTTCTAACAGGGGGCCATGACTGTAGCCCCCTTCCCCTGCTACCAAATAAAAACCCCACCACTCACTCAAATCCAGGACAGTGTTTCCTGACAAGCTCTGGCTGAGATCCACCTAGAATGGGCAGAAGGCAAAAGGAAGCTCTTCTGATACCAGTAGCAGGGTAAAACCAGTCTTGATGACTGACTGCATTTTATTCTGTTGGCATACACTGGCATTTCGAGAAGCACCAACCTGGGGTACTTCTGGCAGAGATAACTTAAAGGAAGTACTAAGTGGTGGCAGCTTTACTCCTTGCAGCTTTACAGGCATATACCCTCCCTCTGCTTTTTTGCTTTTTTTTTTTTTTTTTTTTTTTTTTTTTTCTGTTTATGGCAGGAAATTTAGATCTTTTAAGTAGTACTGTAGAACTTGCTTTGCAGAATACTGAAATGTTCTTGACTGTTATCAGGAGTATCTTAATGTAATTTCTTTAGTTCACTTTGTTGAAAGTGGGTAGAAACTGTTCGTAGAAATTTGTAGAAATCAGTGTTACAAGCTACTTTTGAAAAATCTGTGCTAAACAGTGAATTCTTAGCTAGTAATGGTATGTGTCCTTTGAAGCTGCAATAGACCTGCAGTAGACAATCTTCAGATTTAAAATGGCTTTCCAGACATTGCTAGAATTTCAAGCTCAATCTTAACTGTGTAGTTCACAGGCGGGAAAACCACTCTGCTTTCTATAACATTAAACATGGATGAAGTTGAAATGAATTATGTTTATTCCACTTGTTAAATGAAAACTTGGAGCATGTTCCAGCTTGAAATCACATGCTTTCTGGGAATATATAGGTCTTATAATAAATCTTGGAATGCAAATAAATGCACATGGCTCTCCTCTGGGTTGGAGTACAATTTATTTCAGAAAAATTTGGACCCTTAGAATGTCTAGCTGTGCTGATGCTTATAGTTTGTGATGAGGTAAGAGTACTTGATTCATGTGACTTTACCTTGCAACCCTTTTTAATTATGTCCTTGGGCTTTAAACTAGTGGTGAATGATCAGGACAAGTACCTATTTTCAGCGTGAAGATATTTGTTTCCTTGTAAACTAGAAGCATAGACACACATTTTCTTTTAGCAGACTAAAAGTACAATTACATATTTTCATTTTATAAAAAATACTTCAGAAAGCAGTCAGCTAAAGCAACCTCAGTAAATTGGTGTGTCGCTTCTCTTATCTCGAGTGTAAAAGTTAATGAGATTGTATCTTGAGGATGGATCACATCTGGCTGTAGTCAGAATTTGATCACTTATGTTACTTTAATTTTTACACTTACCCTTGCAATTATTCTTTTGAAATTAAATCCTTTTTGCATTTTAATAAAGGAAAGATAAGAGAGACTGAGAGTGTCAAGTAATTGTTATACACAGGAAAATGCAGTATCATCTCTCACAGACTAAATTAATTTACCCTTTTTTTTCCCATCCGTGAATCAAAAAAAATTTACATCATACTAAATGTTACAGTAACAAAAAACTAATTCAATTACCTGTCTAAACTATGTTCCAAAAGCTGTTCTGCAGAAGGAAGTGCTACATGTGTTTAAAATGTTATTACAAACTGTGCACTCTGAAACAAAATTAAAAATGGAGGTTGGCCACACCATAGAATAATAATTTTATTTGGCATAGCTGTCAACCTCCACTTGGCAAAAGTGCTAAGATAGGACAATAGGATCAGACTGGAGTTGCTTTAGCAGAGCTTTTTGAAGAAATCTTGCCTTCTGCCTGTTTGGTTTAGATTCCTTCTAATTCACAAGATTTATTTGATTAATTAAAAAGAAAAAAATCTTTACAAATCATGCTGAATCCCCTTTTCAGCCTATATTTTGATGTTCTGCTCCTGAATGACTTTAATTTGATGGAGTTTACATTTGACCTCAGCATGCTTTGGACCAGGTCCTAAAGGCCACTCAAAAGGGCTGGCCTTCTTTGTGTCAGAAGGCCAGATAGTCTCAGCCCTATTTAATTGGAATTTGTATATATGCCTTTTAAAATACTCTGGTTTTAAAAAAGGAGCACTCATGCCCTTGAAGGCTCCATGAGCAGCAGCATGAGGAACGCAGCAGATGACCATTGTGAAATGCTGGGGAGCTGTGGCTGGGGGGACAGTCTGGTGTGTTGCTGTGTGCTGGTCCTGCACCTGACCCTTGCCACTCACTGAGCTCTCCCTTTCAGAAGAAATAACCATATTTGGTGTGTTTGCAGAGAGGAAAATCCTTTCTTTTGTAGCACATTCTGCCCAAACAGACTGACTCATTCTTCAGGATCAGGTTTGGACTGTACCTTCATAAAAGCAATAATGGGAAGAGAGGGAAAGAAGAGAAAATGGCTGGAAAGGTGTCCTGAAAATCTTAATTTTTTCCCTTTAAACAATAACTCCATAGGACTTTGCCAATTTGACATACAGTCTGGGCTCACTTCAGCAGGTTTAACAAGCTCAACCTTCATTTGGTTACCACTAATTTATTGTGCTAATGTATCTCAGAGTAGTATCAGGCTTTTGGAAGGAATATAATAATACAATTACTCTGTCAAGCTGAGTAAGCTAAGTACTGATCCATGAGCTAATGACCTGCTTCAGGGCAGGAAGAATCCCATGGGACCACGGGAACAGCATTGGCAATGTCTTAATCTTTCAGATGCATGGAGCTAATGAGTGGCAGAGGGTGCAAATGTGTACAACACTGAGATTATGGGTTTTCTCTTTTCAGGAGAACAGAGTTCAGTGTGAGATTTTGACCTTATTACTAAGCTGAGTATAGAGACGACTAATAAAAGTAGTGGGTTTTCACTTCAGCTAGTCTTACACTTGCCTGTTTATTCAGTATTGTAGATGACACTAGTGAGTGAACTGCAATCTCCTTGCAGAATTTTATAGGACTAAATGGTTTCCATATTGGAAAATTCATTATTAATGGTTAACATATATAATACATTCCAGGTTCCTTAAAGTATATTGACTAGTTAACCTCTTACCTTGATAAATCCCAGTTAGAACACATTTTATATCCTAATGGGCTAGACTTAGTTCTTTGCTCTATAGACACAGACTTTTCAGTTTAGGATCTTGGTTATGTGTGACAAATTCAGTATCTCCCTTAAACAGATGTATTTTGAAACAGTTCACAGCCCTAAACTATTACCAAAATATTTTTTTTTAGCCCGTGAATAACAATATTTAAGATTGGTATATTTCACCAGGTTTCAGATTTCATGAGAAAACTTTTACACAGCTTCACTGAAGAAAAAATTATTTCAGTGTTGACCTTATCTCTGTGTCTCAAATAATCTCTCAGTGCTGAAAGCTAAAGTTGATTCCTCTACAATGGGCCAGCAATGATGCTTGCTGATGTTTCTCTGTTGAGGGGCACCATCACAGCCTCCCTCATCTAGTTGTCTAGCCTTCTCATTTATTCCAAATACAGTTAGAAATGTTATTCACCAGGTGTTGAGCCACAGTGCAAGCCAAGCTTTTAAGGAGAACACTGCCTGGTCTCCACCAGACATGGGCATTTTCCATGTACCTTTGCACGCTTCTATAGGCTGTTCAGTTTCTTCCAGAAAAACACCATTGTCCATGAGGGACAATATCTATCAAAATAATTAAATCATTTTTGTCCCAACAGATCTGTTTCAGAGGTGCATTTTCATGAATGAAAATGAAATGCTGGATACATGCATGACTGCATGATTTGAGGCAGGTACTGCTGTACGTTTATGAGTTAATCCTAGAAGAGCTGAGCATTTCTGAATCCATCAGTGGTGCTTCTCTATAAAGTTGTTTGAACCCAACCATTGCCATTAACAATAGCACTGTCTGGGTCTGTGCCTGGCACTGGAGAACTCCAGCTCTTCAGGTAGTGTGCACTTTCTATTTTTAAGTTTTTTAAGTTTTTAGTTTCAATAGTAGGGATAAATCAGTTAGGAAATCTTTGTCCAGAAAGTTTTATAGATCTCTGGACAGAGAAGAAGTAATGATAGTTCCAGATCCTTATGATGAGTGCACGAATGTCATTATGTTGAATGTCTTTGCATCACATTGGTTCACTACATTGTGTTTCTTTTTCTCCTCAAGAGCATCTTGGAAGGCACATTTTAATATGCCCTTTCATAGTTTCTAACACAGCAACAAAACATCAAAGCACAATTTCTAATGTCTACAGTACTCCATCTATTCCTTTTAATTGGGGAAATTCCCTTGTCTCAGTTGTCCAAAGTGCTGTCTGATAATAATCACCACCAGTCTTAAATTAACACAGAGTATGATATTCAAAGGATGAAAGCAAGTTCATACAGCAACCCACACTACAAGAACCGGCTGCCAATTGGTAGGAATGTCAGTGAATAACAGATTTATTCAGTGCTTTGAATGACCAAAGATGATAACCAGTAAGAAGAAAGGTTAAACTAGCATCAATATTTTTTGTCCTTTAAATGATTTTTCCTGACTTTTTTTCCATCTCCCTCTCCTCAGAGCTCCAGAACAGCTCGCTCGGAGGAAGACGGGGACTTACTATGGGATGCCTGGGGCTCATGGAGTGAATGTTCACGCACTTGTGGAGGAGGGGCTTCATATTCACTGAGACGCTGCTTGAGCAAGTAAGTGGGTGAACACTTCTTACTTTACTGATGGGAGAATTCAACATACTTGTATGTGTCAGACCATAAGAAGTAATCAGTAGAGGTCTTGAACCCTGCTAAAATTTCCAACTCAATGTCAGAAAATTATGGTGATGTTTTTTTTTAGTTCAGGAAAGCAGCCAACATGTTTGATAAAGCAACACCCTTTTAAAATATAGTGAGAACCTATGGAGATACAAAAGTTGTCTGGACGGCTTACAAGGCTGCCAGCTACTGAAAAGTGAAACTTCCCTATACTTCCACCATTTAAGTGGTAAGACTTTTCACACACTTGTATCAGACTACAGCTAATTCACTAGGTTTAGCACCCCACAGTCTCAGCAACACTGAGACTGTAAAAGCATCACATTGACCCAACACAGTATCCTGAGCTATATATGAAAGAATGATAATTCTGCTGATGATATCTTATGAATTTCAGGTAGGAGGTCTTCCATAACAGCAAACCCTTTCTAACAGGCAGAAGTAGAGTGGCCCAGTGCAAAGGTGGAGTCTGGCATCTGAGATGCCAGTCAGGCATCTGAGATTTTGTTTCTCTCCAGTTACAAGGTTGCAATGGAACATGGATAAGTCATTTGACATAATTTACACTCTGTAGTATATTTAAGTTTTACCTGCAAAATATTTCTAGCAAATATTGTTTCTATCTACTTTAAGAAGTTTACCTGCAGTAAAAGTGGTATATGTGATAAATATTAACAGATTTCTCATAAAGGATATGAAGGAAGACTCCAGACCCAAACTTTGTGGCTTACTGCCATCTCTGATACCTTATACATTGTAGTATAAAAAATGTAATACAATTTTCCATCCTTCATATGTTTCTTTTGTATTTTCTATCGTGTTTATAAAACTGATGTTAATAAAACAGACCGTGACAATACACTCCAAATTGTTTCCTACATCTGACATTTTTGTGCATGATGCTGTTTAATGAGGACAAGAAACAGCACAAGGCATTGAACCATAAGATCAGAAGAGAATATTGTGTATTTTAACTTTATCTGTGGACTGTTTGGTCTCCTAGTTACAGCAGTTATTGAGTTGACAGCATGCAAAAACCTGCTGGAAGGAGACAAGATAGGTAAAGGCATCTACTGAAACCAATGGAAAACCAGTACTTTTTTATTCCATTCCCATGGGAGTGTGTGTGTGTGAATATTTTTTTTAAACTTGGGTCCAAATTCTCATTTCTTGTTAGTTCCGTAGCAAGCAGTGGTTCTGCAAACACCTCAAAATTGGAAATTACAGAGACACAAACTTATTTTTAATCAGAGTGTATCCTTTTCAGACTGAAGAAAACAAATGATCTTCTATATGTTCCTTTAATGTAAACATGAATCCAGGCACATCAGGAGGTCTGTGGAATCTGAGTAGTACAAGGGCTTGTTGACTACACCTCCGCTCCCTCACTGAGAACTGCCTCAGCAATTTCTAGAGGGGAAAAGTCTTGGAGCTCTGTGACAGTAGTAGTAGTAGTCAGCAGTAACAGTTAGAGCTCTGTAGTATGTGAATATAAACCACTCCTCCTGGGCAGGCTCTCCCTATCTGATTCTCTTGGTTCTTGTACTATTTGAGATGTCCCAGAAGCTACCCCAGCGGAACAGGGAATAAACTTATCAATCACACAGTACTTGTTTTTCATACAATACCTTACTACTGTCCTGTCAGTACTTAAGCAATGCTCCCTGCCTGAAGAACTAACTGCAGACTTTGGCTCATTCACATGTGGAAACCCTTTGTTTCCAGGGTAGGATGCAGAGGTTTCATCGGGTGCACAACATTTACTAGCCAGTGGCAATAAATCATAAATAGTAAAATTTAACCTTGAATTAGCACAGTATCAGATGTGTGATAGTTTTTCCTTTTTCCTCATCTGTGCATGATTGTTAATTAAGGTAAGGGTTTAAATGATTAATTTTTGTGCCAGGTATAAGTCACTAAGAAAAAGGCAGGGAGGGAGCAGGGCTAGGAAACTCATCCAGACTTTTAAGGTTTGGAACTAAGCCTGTACACATGAATATTTCAAGCCTGGTAAGGCTAGAACAAAATGTCCACCTCTCTGGGACAATTTCTTGGTTGGTACAGTTTATCTCATATATTTGCTGTGTATAATTTCATGGCATTATGAAGGAAGATGCTAGCTACTTCTGGCACTTGAAAACTGGCAACACATTTAGATGTTTTAGAACAAATTAATCCTAAATATTTCTCATTCTGGGAGGAATGTTCATAATGCCTTATGTCTTTTAGTTCTGTATGAGGTAACTTTCAGAGCATTACATGAAAAGAGAGAACCCAGTGCATCTGCTTTGAAGAAATGCAGAAACTAATTGCCCATTCCTAAACACCGTTAGTATATGCAGCTAAATAAAGAAAATCAGTTTTCTTTCCAGCTTTCCTTTGCCGAAGTTATGTTAGTGCTTGTGTTGTTTGTTTTGGGAACATGTTTTGTGTTAGGCCTTTGCAGCTGTGATGAAAGAATGGAAAGTGTTAGTGAGAAATTCTATTTTCTAGTGTTTTAGATGGCAAACATTTCAGGGTAGGGGCTGTTTAACAGTACTTTTCATTAGAACAACTGGTCCTGATTATGCTAAGGACATTTAGTGATATAAATAAATATGCCAGTCACACAAACAGACAAGAGTTCACAGCCCAAGTCAACTATGCATTCTGGTGTCCCATGCTGACAACAAGCAGCACTGGGTCACTCTGGTGGCAGAATAAGCCCCAGGAAAATAATATTTTGCTAATTAGTAATTAAAGACTGAGATGAACCTCAGACCATGACACTTTTCATGCTCTTTGTTGGCATTAACTCTTTATGACTTCAGGAATTTGTGTTATTTACATGAAAGGAGAGACTCCCTTTAAATGTTACAGTTTGCCTCAACTCACTTGAAAGTGAACCTCACAGCCTAATTATATATTAGGTGAAGAAGTATTTATTTTTATCATTCCAGAGTGGTTTGGCCTTCAGTTTCAGGTGTGGTGGGGACGGGAATGGACAGATGGATGGGGGACATGTGTGTACAAAGCTCAGGAAAGAGAAACTCCTCATATGTTTCCTCTCCATCAGGAACTGTCATGCGGCACTGCTGGTCAAAACCTGCAGCAGAGCGGAGAACCACAGACCACTCCTGTTTCTCTTGAGGGTCAAACTAGCAACAGTTGTGCTTCTGCAGAGAACCAGGTTTTATTAGATGTTGGATACTTGGCTACAGGGACACTGGAAATACATAGGCAGAGCAGATTGAGAGACACTGCAACATGGTCTTTGCCCTCTTCCTTGGAATCTGGCTATTATTTGTTATGGTCTGTCTGTTGCACAGCACGGCTGGCATTTGTCATCCAGCAAAGTGATTGAAAGTCACATACCATCAATCCAGGTATGGATTTCCTTGTATTGGAATACATTTTCAAATCATAAAAGAAATTATAAATTTTCCTACTAAGTTCACCCATCCTGATCCTGAAAATATTCTGTGTGTTCTGGAATTGCACTTTACATATTGACAAGTACTGCAGTAGTATCAATAGTGTTTCACTGTGTCTAGGCTTGGCAGGAAGATAATTGTGATTTTTTTTGTATCACTTTCCAAATTCATCATCACTTTCTAGTAAAGAAAGGTTGTAGATAGCAGAAGAGCAGGATGTCCTAGAGTATTGGGAATGATTTTAGCAGATAATAAGTAGTCTTTTTTTCAATCTGCTTAGAAATCCTACCTGTTACTGTTGCTGCTGTTTCCAGATAAAGCATGAAGCAGGGAACAGTCTGTGTTGGTGTATAGCAGAGTGCTAAGCTGGTTATGGAGGCCCATGGATACTGAATCTGGGTTTAGGGGTCAAAATTTGAGATTGTCATTCTTACCCATGGGAAATTATGTGTAAACTGCTGAATAGAGTGGAGGTTTTCCACCATTAGATGATGGATGTACATTTAGTAGCAGAAGAGAGTCAATATTAACATCTTCCTGATAAGTTTCCCTCAGTAAAGAAAGTGACAGAGATTTAAAAAAAAAAAAAAGCTAAATTAGCTCAAATTAGGTCAATTTTATACTGTGTGACATTTTTCATAAGACAGAATCCCAACATAAATTTGATTTATGTCTTTAAGGAGTTACTGTTTTCTCATTTTGATCACATAAATTATCATTTCACAAATCAAGCATCAAATGGTTTGTGGCCTGTCAGGATGATGGAATAGATGCATGTTATTCATGTTAGTATAAAGTTAAATAATAGAATAAGAACCCATTACAACACCACCAACCAGCACTGAAAAGTAGATACATCAGATATTACATATTTTAAAAATAATGTTTGACGTTTCAGCTGTACATACTTTTAATACCAAAACACTGTATACTATTGTGTTGCTGTTTCACAACTGAATTTAGAATTTAGCCCAAACATGTGGCAGTGGCCCGTAGTTTCAGACTACAGTCACAGAGTCATCTGTCTCAGAGCCTCAGATCACCAGACAAACTGATTTTTTTTACATCTAACATTGATAAAAGGTCCTTTAAACTTTATGAGTGAAAATTACCATGGAATAGTTACTATAGTTTTTGGGCTGCTTCTTTATCAGAGAGAAGATAACATAAATTACTGCAGCTACTGTGCAATGATATAAATGCAGTCTACTCTAATCCTGGCACTACTAAATAAGGCAAATTATGCTGCTTTACGAGATGTTCCTATTCTAGTCAGAATGATAATTTTAAATCTTGTGGTTTTTTATGACTTCCAGAATAAGCCCTTTGCTATCTTAACATCAGTAGAATAAAGAACAAAATATTTTTGCACAAATGCTGCCATAATTGCAGAATATATCCACTCAGTGGAAGTACAGTCAATACTGTAAAATTCTTAGGTCATCTGTGCTACCAAATGATTTTGGAGAATGGTTCACATTACTCTGATCAAAACTGTATCTGTATACTAGCTTAATGTTT